GTTCTGTCTCTCTTGTGTGTGTGTGTGTGTGTGTGTGTGTGTGTGTGTGTGTGTGTGTGTGTGTGTGTGTGTGTGTGTGTGTGTGTGTGCGTGTGTATGTGTGTGTGTGGAATTCGTGTGCGGCCATCTGGGCTAATAATGGGATTTGTTGCTGCGCTTTATGACCTAACGCTAACACTCTCTCCGACATGCCATAAATCTTGACGAGCGCACGGACAGATGCCCCACATTCATTTTTAAACGCATTGCGCTTCCATGACTGGTTGCTCTGCCTTTTTTTTTTCTTTTTTTTTCTAATTCTGCGTCTTTCGCCCACATGGCCCGTGGCGTCCCAGCGGATTGAATTATTCCACTTAAAAAGCTTTCAACTTTCTTTTATTGAGTTGTCTCAGTTTGGTCTCTTCTCTATCAATAGTGCTTATTTCCATTCTCTAATCCGGAAGCCTGCAGATGTGTTTTTACCCCCTCGGGGGCTCTTATTTTGTTGCAGATTGATATCGTACAGCAAATGGAAAGGGAGAAAGAGAGTGGAAATGTAATTCAAGAGCAAGGCAAAACGATTAAAATGACCTCAAAGAGCAAATGTGCAATTGGATTGTGAGGAAACAAAAACAGAACATAGCTGCAAAAATGAGTCAATATGAATTACAACTGGAACCTGTTTTTTTTTTTTTCATCTCCTCTCCTGTAGTAACATTTCCCATTGAGATCCATTAGCCAGTCGGGGGCGGCTATTACGAGAAGCTAATGCAACGGCTGAAGCTAGCAGAGCAGAGCAGTCGATAAGATTCGTAACTGTCACACAAGTGTCGAGTAAAATCAAACACGGATGTCATGTTAATTGGGGAATAGAAATAAAAATAACTTAAAAATATCCATGAAAAAAAAGTTGGTAAATACTGAGTGCTAGCAAGCCAATGGGAATTGGAAACAGGAAGTAGAAACCTCCCAAAAATGGAGCGCAAAATGTTACAGCGCTAAGCGTGGCAACATGGGGCATATTTTTTTGTTGTGTTGTGTTCAAAGACTACTGTCAGTGAATGCACCATTTGTCTCATTTCAGTCTGTGTCTTCTCTCCTTTACAGAAACCTGTCGAAGAATCCTCTTAGCACTTTGTCCTGGCAGCTCTTCAAGCACCTTCAACTTGCCGAGCTGTGAGTCGCTTTTTCTTTAACTTTTCTTATGAGCAGCTATTTATCAATGCTAACCCGCGCACATCGCTGGTTTTGATCGTATTCTTTCCAGTATAACTCTCGCCTTTGTTGTACTGTCCGTCTCATTTGTCTGGGCTGCATGTGCGGAGAGTAGACCTGAAGGCAATACGCTGATCTTACAAGCCAATTTGTTGACTCAATTAACACGCAGTGGAAATAATTAAATCGAGGGGCGGCGTGGTTGATGAGCATGTGGCCCACCCCCAGTAACCCGTTCTCATGCTAATTATGAATATTTGAGCCACCAGCCAGTTTAGGAAATACTGTGATGTCTAATTTATGCTTCACTACTTCCGTCAGCCACCAGTTAACAGGCTACCACAATAGAGATGAATAAACGCCTCCGTCAAGTAGAGGCCTTCATTTTCCACTCATTGAAAAACAATATGTGGTTAGGTTATGGTGGTTTTTTTCTGTTCAGTTAAAAACAAAAAAACAAAACAACAACAAAAAAAGATAGCATCATACTTCGTCATCAAGACTACGTATTGACATTGGGTTAACCAAAACAGCTGCACCTATGTAAGGTAAATAAACAGCCGCCCCCCCCCCCCTTTTTTATGACTGCTGCTCACCAAAATTGCAGCATTCGCCTCCAGATATTTGCTTAGTTCTTCTTCCTTGTGGTTCCTGCGTGGGATTCAAATAGCCAGCGGGACCCCCTGCTGGTGTTACTCTATCATCATCATCGCAGTGCCTCTTTGTTCCTGTTTGGAAAAGTACAAACTTTTTTTTTTTTTTTTTGTAATGTTTGCTGTCTGACCAGCTGTCCACTTGGACTATTGCAGCTGATAATGTAACACGCTTAGTTATTTCTGCCAGCACTTTTAATGACATTTTAGATTATTAGTAGATGACATTTTGCAACATTAGGTGTTGGCTCAGTGTGTGACAAGTGGGAGCCATCTACCTTGTTTTATAGTTACATGAATGGCTCATTATCTGGCAAGCGGCTGTCGGACTCCGGCATACCAGCTGCTAGTGTTTTAACATTTGATCAACAATAGTAGAGAAAAAACAGGGCTTGATGTAAATCCCCAACCAACTGGCTTTCTTAGTTATTATTTATATATATTCTGTATATTAGAATGCTATTTAAACATACCGCCTGCTAGCATTTTAGCATTTTATCAACTCTCATTAGAATGGGTGGGGGAACCGGGGACAGTTGCATCAGCGGTTGCTGGTAACACTTGCAAGTGCTCCAAACTTTATTACCTCAAAAAATGTTAAGGAAAACAGCATTTTGAGGTCATAGCGTTTTTTTGTGTGATTACATAGCCTGCTCTGTAATTTAACTCATCAAACATATCTCATGTTGGTTACGTGTATGTGTATTTATTTCAAATTGATAATGTTTTTACTCAGTTAGCTATATGTTAAACTAGTGCATTGCTAATGCACTCAGGGACAGTTGAAACAAACTTGCCTTGGGTAAGGTGTAACTTAATTAATTATATACAATTTACCCCGAGCTCAATTTGACCGAATGCATCCAGTACGAATCAGACTTTTATTGGCAAAACCATTGACCATAAAATCGAGCCACATTTGAGAAATGGGACTAACTTGACAAGTAACAGCACATCCCGATCCAACTCTACCAACCCACTAAGCATGTGCTTCAACCTTCTGACCTAGCTATTGACCAAGCTTCTGCTCTTACTACCAAGCAAACCTTTTGCTCCAGCTCCGACACCGTCTACTGAAGAAACACCGACTTGGCTGAATTTTAGCCTGGCAGTTTTTCGACCATTCCCAAAAGCCAGACAACAAAAACAAAAAAAAAAAAGCAATAACTGACAAAGCTGTCAAGATGCCGCTGGAAGCCGAGCAGAAGATGCATTCTGAGAAAGTTAAAATGGAAAATAAGCTTGCCCCCAAGAAGTGAGGCTGTCGTTGCTTGTGCGCAGTGGCAACTCTTGTCCAAATTTAGTCTCCTCAGTGTTCATATCTTCATGTATTTTAAGTCCTGTACTCTGCAGAACCACAGCATTAGAGAAAATGTTTTGAACAGAAACCTTTCAGTAGCTCTACTCAATATCATAACCCTCCTAAATTTACATTTCACCCCACAGCTGATCCAGACCAGGGGGTCACTTGTAACTTGTATTTGAGATGAAGTCATGCATTCTCTCTTTCTTGTTGCGCAGCCATTTTTCATGCCATTCATTCAAGGACACTCAAAACTAGTTTGCAAAGCCGTTTGAACACCCTTCGTCAAAAGAGCTCAACGTTAGAGAGAAAATTAAAAAAAAATGTCACCAGTCTCCCCTCCTCATTTACTTAAAAAAAAACAATGAAAAGATAGAGCTACTGAAATAACTTGTTGCACCCTTCGTCAAAAGAGCTCAACGTTAGAGAGAAATATTTTTAAAAATTATCACAGACGTCACCATTCTCCCCTCCTCATTTACTTAAAAAAAACAATCAAAAGATAGGGCTACTTAAATAACATGTTTATTTTGTGCATATACTCTTTTTGAAGTACCAACAAATGTATTCTCACATATATTTACCTACATATGCTGAACAATTTGCCATGCCCCAAGGAAGGAAACGAAAAAAAAATATATTTTAATGGTGGACATGGGACTTAACAGTTGCATCGGTCTTTATTTGTTTGACAAAGATCATTTACACAACTTTGAAACTGTGTCGTTTTGAACAAGGCAATGGAGTTAAGAATTAAGCTGCCTATTTCCCACAATCCATCGGGAGAGGAGCGAGTTCATCAGTTAAGCAGATATTTTAGGATATGGATGACAAGACGCAGCAAATAACAAGCCGGGGCAAAGCTCAGCCTCCACAGAACCAAAATCCCTCATTCTGGCTCAGCAAGCACGACGGCCTCAGATTTGTGCTTCCTCCAGAGCGGCCAACTTGGATGCATACAAATGGCGCCTTTGTTGTTTGTACATGAGAAGCGCGACCACAGTGTGACTTCAAATGAGTGGCAAGCATTCCATTTATTTTTTGTATATATCACTTTCCATGTCTGTCTGAGATGTCAGTCGGAGTAGCAGAAAATGAGTCACTCCGTCAAGGGATAGAGTCCTGACATCATAGCTATGCACCGATCAGCCATAGTGTCGATGTAAAATGGCTTCCAATCGCCTTAAAAGACATGGGACGATATTTATTTATTCATTCATTCATTCTTTCATTTATTCTTAGAGAGTGATTTTCTCATTATACAGCAAAGTGGAGACTGTGGAGTATCATACTGTGGTATTCACAACTAAGGCAGGGTAAAAGATAACCCATTATTATTATTTTAGGAATTGTTATTATTTTTCAATCATTTGTTGTCATGTGTCCTCAAATATTACAACGATGCAAATTTAATGAGGACTGAGGCAAGCTTGACAGCAAAGTGGAGATTGTGGACTGTCCTTGAAACAATGTTGCAAATGTATTTGAGACTGATAGCGTAGCAGCAAAGTTGAAAGACTGCGCGGCATCACACCGAGTAACAGCAACAGGCAACGGTGACGGTAGCGTGTTTATTTTGGGCATTTCTAGCCATTCATCCTTCATCTGCAAATCTCACAACGGGGCAGCCATTTTATGTATATGTTTTCTGTCAGACACAAAGTCATCTATCAGTGGCATATGCATTGAAAATGCTCTTATGTGACACTGCCTTGCCTCTTTGTCTGCGTGCCCTTAAGCCCCCCCACCCCCCTTAAAAAAAAAACCTAAGATGGTGGAGGCGTGCTACAGTGGCTTCCGTCGGGAAAGGATGATCGAGGATTATTTGAAGCAGTCTTGTGCTCGGAAAGAAGGGAATATTCTGTACCCAGCGGCGGTGAATCCTTTTATTCTGTTAGCACGTCTTCTTGAGATGCAAAGTCAAACTTGGCTCTCTCGCTCTGCCTTGTGCTGTGAAATGGATTTTTCTTTGACTACGTGGCCAAACGTGAATGGATCCAACCTGTAATCTCTGCCACTAGGATTATAATAAATTAAGCGCGCCTCCTAAAGGCCGCATGACAGGTAAATTACATGACGTGAACCCCAGGTTTTATTAGCGCTCCGTGGCACCGGGGGTAAACTATTAGCAGAATGGAGCGCGGCGGTTGAAAAACATCAAAGTAGGCAGAGTGAGAATTACAAAAGCGTATGTGTGTGGATCAAGTTAAAAGGTACACACGCCAGGCTGGAATCAATTTAGAGCGATATAGAGAGGGGGAAAAAAATATCAATTACTCAAAAAAAAAAGGCAAAAATCGAGTGCACATTCAAAAGTTACTACTTTCAACTAGGACTCATTACATATTTATAAAACTTAGCAAGCACCTCCATTTTAGCTTAACCTTCCTGCCATGACGTTCTGGTATCCATTTCCACTTCCATCTATCCTTCTCCTCCTCCTCAAGTAGGGGAAAAGCTTTGTGCATTTAAAGAGCAGCATGTTGGCAACACGAAAACGTGACGAAAGGTTCAAATAAAAAGTCTTTATTTCAATGCCAGTGCAGCTGCGGGGAATCTGATGGCTTTCCAGTTGATGCTTTGCAGTCTTCTTAATAAAGATGCATTGGGTTGTACACTGTTAAAAAACAAAAAAGTGCATTGCCGTCCAATTCATCTCTGCATTTTCTATGAAGATTTTGCTCATGAGGAGCTCGAGTGAGTTGGAAGCAATCCAAGCAGACACCCTGGACAAAAGCTTGGCGATAATTGGTTTTTCATATTGTTTACCATATGACGAGAAAAGACCCCAAACATTGTCAAAGACACTAAGCGTTTATATGTTGCAAAAGCAGGGATTTATCTACATGTTGGAAGCTTTTTTCCTGAGGTGTGTGTGTGTGTGTGTGTGTGTGTGTGTGTGTGTGTGTGTGTGTGTGTGTGTGTGTGTGTGTCTGCAGTACAGTATCAACATAGAAACACAAAGACTGCAGTGATTTTTAGACTTTTTTTTTTTAGCAGATTTCAGAACGTCCACCTTTCAGTAAAAAAAATATGTGAACCTGATGACGTCAATGCGAAAACAAAAACAGACAATTTTTTTTTTTTTTTTACGTGTTTTTTTTTTTTCTCTCTTGAAAGTTGAAGAATTGAGCAACACAAAACACAATGCACTCAGCGAGAGGAGTGTAATTTGCAGCGATCATTTCAATGATTCGGTCTTGAAGGATGAAATGTCCTTAGTCGGAGTTTGGAATGAAATGGCTTCCACTGACCTGGACGGATGGCGGTCCAATCCCCAGCAACGGCTTCTTTCTGGCTTTAATGAAGTTGCGACCTTTAACATCTGCAGCTCCTCAAGCTCAGCTACCGGACGCCTCCTTCCGCATACACGATCGTCTCGCTATTGAGGCGAGGGACATCACCCCCGTCCCGCCGTGGCCGGTGAAGCTCCCGCAGACCACCGTCACCACTGACTGCGCAGGTGTAAAAATGCTTAACGTCGCCGAATGTCTGAAAACCGCATCCATTTGTCCCTAAAATTTATCGTTTGAAGATATCAAAATGGTAGCCCCGCTATTTTGGATTTTTTTGGACATAAAGCCTTTTCCCTATAGTGTTCCCACATCTTTGTGCCACAAGACATCCGACTTTCAGTCGTAGCCTCCCGCTTTCGTGACTGATGTCATTTTAAACAGGCACCATAAAGCTGACAATTGGCATCCCTCATGAATATTCATAAACATCTGGATTCTGCTCCTATGGCCTGAAATGGCATAAATAACTGCACATGAGGTGATGGATCATCCTCCAGCACATCATCTAGCTATTTGTTGTAGCGTGCTTGCCCTAATCGACCGTTTCCAGGGGGACGGTGTGTAATGTATCAGGGTGGTAATCAGTATTAGCAATTTGCCTCATTAGAGTGGAATAGAAGGCAGTGGGTGGATCTGGGCTGAGGTTCGTTTGCCCTGCTCTGCCTCGCGCCAATTCTCTGTGGTTCACTTCGCAAGGAGAAGACCAACCACGAGGTTTCCATTAAATTAGGATTGCTACTTGAAAATTTCGTAACCATTGTGAGAAGACCCACGTAAAAGTAATGTCCAAAGAAATGCAGGAAGCCATTCTTGTAGGTCCCTTTGACCTCACCCTTCTGCTTTGTGCAGATACCAAAACGCCAGCGCACCTCTTAACCAATCACATGCGGCTTAAAAAAAAATGTGGAAAAAAAAAAAAGAACTAAAAAATTGGTTCCCAACCAGGAGGCATCTCCTTTCGTTCGCTTGAAAGAGAACCGCATAGTTTGCGACCCACAAATCATGACGACGGGATTGCGCGAGAATCAGGACCGACAGGATGTTGTGAAACGTACTGGCAGTCCACCGTTTCCAGGGTGTCGTACTCGAATGAGTAGGGAATTCACGAAATCCCCACCAATAATTTGTTCACATCTCCAACGCTAACATTACGAGTTAGAAACCAAACCTGAACTCAATGGTGGTGATCTTGTTTCGTATAATTGATATTCTAACAACACTAACACAGTGTGCAGGTTCTGTTTTACCTCCACAGCAAACATTACAAGCCCTCGTAAAGATTTTGATTGTTTCGTTGAAGGTGTAATAAATGGTTATTGGACTTTTTGACTACATTCATTACATTTGAGTAGATTTGTGTAACATAGTTCCTCACAAGTACTTCTCCCACATGACGTGGAATTGCACCATATCAGACCCAGACCTCTGTCAAACCCCAACGATATCCACTCAATTGCTAACAGATTCCTTCTTGATTACTTCCACTAAATATCTGTGAGAATCGGTTCTGTAGTCTTGGCACAAACTTCTCGGCAAACAATGTGTCATTTTTCCTTGAAAGAGGTAAGTCTCGAGAGCTCCACCTCGTCAATTATGTACGGTATTTTCCGCACTATAAGGCACTTTGGAGTACAAGGCGCACCTTCGAGGAATGGCCTATTTTAAAACTATTTTCATATATAGGGTGCACGGGATTATAACAATAGAAGATACTATCGTGGCTGCGGTTGCATTATCCACTAGATGGAGCTATGCTAAAGGGAATACAATACAACACAGCTTTATTTATACAGAGCTTCCACAACCGCTGCAGCTGTAACCAAGCTCTTTACAGAAATTTAAAATACTACATCCAATAAATCCGAATATTGATCCACATATAAGGCGCATCTGATTATAAGGCGCACTGTCGGCTTTTGAGAAAATTGAATGCTTTTAAGTGCGCCTTATAGTGCGGAAAATACGGTCGTCATGTCTCACATGAGAAGGTTCAGTCCTCGTCACTCACGAAAATCTATTCTCATGGCTTCATATAGACTGTATATAACCATCGCATATATTATTCATGCTTTCATGCTCATTGACTCCTGTCAAGGACATTTGGATGGACATTCATCCTGACAAAATTGGCCAATCGCTGCTCGGAAATTGGACACAAGAACACGCAGGGGGGTGACAGTGGGAGAATGCGGTGGAATGTATTCAGCGCGGAGCCTGATGACACCCGCCGGCTTGCTAATGGAGCCCGAGAATTGTGGTTCTGAACATTTGACATTTGAACTTTTGGCATGGGAAAGTGTCAGACCGCTAGCTTGTGCAAGAATATATTACGCTTTGGTGCGGAGCCATTGTTTGATCGTTTGGACGCCAGATATTTGGAGTTTGTCGGATGAAGTCAATATTCTCAGGGTGTGTGTGTGTGTGTGTGTGTGTGTGTGTGTGTGTGTGTGTGTGTGTGTGTGTGTGTGTGTGTGTGTGTGTGTGTGTGTGTGTGTGTGTGTGTGTGTGTGTGTGTTTTCATGGACAGAGATAAGTCGATGCATGTGAATGATTGTGGCTCTTACCGCCATTGTCCTTCACGAGGGAAAAGCTCCATGCAGTTTTCACAGTCTCGGCCACATTTTGTGAGTTGTTTGCCAGCGAAGCGAAGAAGAGACTTCTGAAGGTCGCACCACGCCGCACCTTTCATCTAGTCAGCATTCAGCAGATAAACTCACAGTCTGCTGTGTGACAGGTAGTTTGGCCGGGGCACTTGAGTGATTTTGGATTGTCATTCATTCGGGAAATAACCAGGGGGAAAACATCAATTCCTAACAGACGAGCCCGTGAAAGGCTCTTTGTCATTATTATTGCTGCTGGTGCACCAAACCACTGTGATAATTGACCTCGGAGGACCGCTGTGTCATAACATTGCGGCTTGTAGCATTAAATTTTTTCATGTTTTTTTTTTTTTTTTTTTTTTAACTACAGGAATGACAGAACACAATACATACCTGACACTCAAAGTTTGACAATTCCTTATGGAAAATGTCCGAAACGGTTTCGTAAAGGGTTGATGTTTCAGTAAATTGTTCTGTGTGTAGATATGGTATGTGTTGTCATAAACAGGAAATACAAAATTATATGTGGCCAATAAAATTAGATCTTTACTTTTTGAAAATGAAAATCTCAAATTTCTGCGCCACCCACCAGCTCATTTTCGCCTTTTCCTAGTCAGGACTCTCAAACATCGACATGACTGTTTATAATATTGATGTATAATGATACGGTGATCATTTTTATGTACATACAAAGCTGCGAACTATTTTTTTTCTGCTGTTGTTCACATTTGCACATAAAGTTGCATGGTGTCATATCCAATTCATATATTACTAATCATGTATCGTTTCATTTCACTCCTTAGGGTACCGCTCGTTATAATTGTGTTTTTACACACAATGTTGCTAACTGTTCTTGCTTCTTTACACATTCTCTTCTGTAGCCCACAGATCATATCCATTCCATCATGTACTGTTTGCCATTCAGAATGAATAAAGCTGTTCATGAAGTAAAGTTTAATTCCATCACGGACATAGTTACATCTCAGCCATGCTCCATAAATGCTCCGGTTTGAGGAAGCGTTTTAAGATGACTATTGGAAAGAAACCTGCTGATGCAACCTCTTAAATGTGAGTGGTGCATATACTTTCAAATGCACTCTACAAGTTATTACATTTAAAGGTTACAGTGGCCGCGCGGTGCACAGCACAGTCGTCTGTCTTAACCCATGCGACCAGAGCAAATGTATACGGGTTCAATCGCCTTGTTCTTTTTAAAAATCGTCTGTGTGTGTGTGCGCGCGCGTGTGTGTGTGTGTGTGTGTGTGTGTGTGTGTGTGTGTGTGTGTGTGTGTGTGCGTGTGCGTGCATGCGTGCGTGCCGGTCACAGGCGCCTGGACGGCGTAGTGTTCGACTGCGGCTGCAACATCCGCTGGATCCAGCTGTGGCAGGAGCGAGGCGAGGCCGGCCTTCACACGCAACAGCTGTACTGTAGGAGCGGAGCCTCCAAGATGAAGCTGCACCACATGTACATACCAAACTGTGGTGAGTACACACGGAGGCTTGCTCTGTGGTCACTAGGTGTGAATGCAAAGACAGCTCTTTTCTTTGATGTGTATGGAAATAAATAAAAACGGTTTACCGATGTAAACGTTGATCCTTCTGCCATTTAGTGGAAGGGCATAGATTTTTTATTTTTTTGCCTGTCACTGCATGTTGCTGACAAAGATAGATTGACAGACGCATTCACAGTAAAATAACCATTTTTGTACAAAATAAATGATATTAGATAAATTCACGCGACATCCATGAAGCTCTTCCTTGGGACACCATTTTGCCACGGCACCTTGGTTGGGAAGGTGCGCCCATATAATGTAATTATGTCGATGTATATGGACTCTCGAGTTTTGCATTTGGCACATATCACATGGCATAAATTTGCGCCGAGACATTTACACCCCCGCCCCCCCCAAAAAAACGGCATATTTTTTTAAAACGGCGATATGCGCCATTGTGGGCGTGAACAAAGTTGACTCCATTGGCCAACAATAAAAGTGGCTCCTCTCATTCCCTTTCAATGTGGTTCACTCACATTTTGCATGCAAATATCTCTGTGCCGACAAGGATGTAGTGGTCAGTGCGTGTCCGGAACATTTGTCACTGTTCTTTGTGTAGCAACAGACAACATAAGTGGGTACCCTCATTAAATACAAAACGAGCTGGTGACAACCGCTGGTGACTTTAATATTTCTGCAAACCTCTTGAATCGGTCCCCACCCTCGATTGTTTGTGTTCGTGTTCCTTTATATTTGGACGTGGAGAGGACAGACAAATTTACATTGTGGGTGTATAAACGTGACAAATAACTTCAAATAACGTTAATACAGAACACAATAAATTCCACGTGTGAAAATCTGCCCCTTGAGCGACCAAGCAAAATGCTATGAGTGTACGAGCATGAAGACAAGTGCAAGCTCGGGGGGAATGGAAGGGAGCAGTGACAAACTGACGCTCGGATGGAATCAAATGTCGAGTGGCACAGTGACTCATTGCTGAGCATTGGCGCACTGCCATTGTGCTGTTATTATTTTATATATATATA